ACAATGGGCGGTTTAGTACACCCAATCCATCTGTACAACTTTGGCCTAAGGGAGGAAATCGGAGCACTCAGAAGAAACCCTCGCAGACACATGGAAAATGTGCAAACTCCATACAGGCATTTACTAAAAGGTGGAATCGAACTCGAGTCCCCACTGCTGTGAAGCAGCAGTGCTAACCACTGTGACACAATGCCTCCCCATGTTCAAGCATACCAGCAGCTGCTGCTTTTGTTCATTAAGGCATCATTTTTTTTAAAGCACATATTTCACTTGGAAGAAATTTGTTTTTATTGTACATCGCCAATGTCTCTCTTCTGTCCTGAACGAATTGGATAAAATCAAATTTCAGTCATACTCTTGTTATGATCTGAGCTGATAGTTCTACTAGACAAGTCAGATCCCTGAATGAAAGCCGGCCTGAAAGGTTACATATTTAAGATTCTTTTTCTTTAGTTAGTTAGCATGGTGCTTAGATACTGAAACAAATTCACAAGGCTGCAGATGTCCTTTAACAATAGAACATAAGTATATTACAAAAAAGAAAGAAAACAGATGAACCAACTTATCTACACATATGTAAAACAGTTTGAAATATCTTAATACAAACACTAAGCACAATTTCACCTCATTTCACAACACTATATATAACAGAGATTCAAATCCAGAGAAATTATCCACTGATCTCATCTCCAGGTTTGTACTTAACAGACTCCTTTTAGTTTCTCTATCTTAACAGTAGAGACAATTTTACATTTGCTCCAGGTCTAACAGCATTAAACTTCACACTTCTGATGGCCTAAACTATTTCAGTTCAAACGATTGAGGGTTTTTGTCTTAAACTCTTCTGGCTTAGAAACTGAACAAACTAGGCAAAAAGCGTAATGTTATTGTAGTGCTGGATTCCTCTGAACTGACCTAAAACCTACCGGAAGAGAAAATAAAATCTTGCTTCTGAACTTCACTCTTGATTCTTTTCAACAAAGATTTTGGTGTTTTGTTTTCAATTGAACTGTAAAGAAAACTTAATGTTTTACTCTGCTGTCATAAACCAATACGTAAAGATATTTTATTCCTTTTTTTCCAAACATTTTCCAATCCTTGATCATATTAACATGTCCTCTTAGAACAAGGTCATTTCTGTCACTGTTCCAGAATTACTTTCTGACTTTTAAAACAAAGACCCTTCTTGGCACTAACCCATCTCCACTTACTTTTTCTTAGCACTTTAGTTACATAACAATAATATATTTTGCACATCTTTCATCAGACTCTTCATAGTGTACGTAGACAGCATCTTTATCAGCTAGATCATTTTATAAAATAAAGAGAAGGAGCTAATACAAATTGGGGAAGATTGAAAAAATGTAGCTCAAGAATTCTGGACTTATAGCAGTTTTGATGTAAGATATTTTTGTTAGTATATACGTCATGAAACAATGAAAATGCATATTGCAGACTTGTCATCTCAATATGTCGCATTTAGAAATCCTGATCCAAACACAAACTATCCTTGTTTAACCACATTGTATCTTACAAAATCTGCTGGATACATACATTTCCTGATATATATTTAAAAAAAAGTAACTTCTAAGATCACCTTGTCAGGTTTTTGTGCATTGTTCACTATAGCAATTATTGCATTTCATAAAATGCTGAATGCACAGCAAAACTGAGCTTGGAATAAAATCAAGCCCTTAAAATGCCTGGAGGAGGAGAAGTTACTTTTGACTATATCATTAGATTTAAAAAAAAGACTTGTATCTCATGATGTCCCTAAGTGCTTCACAGCCGATTAATTAACTTTGAAGTGGAGGCACAACTGTAATCTGGGATAGGCAAGAAGCCAATTTCTACATAGCAAGGTTCCACAAACACCACCAGCTGATTTGTTTCAGTGATGTTGGCTGAAAGATAAGTATTGGCAACAACATAAGAGAGAACCACTTGCTCTTTGATATAATACCATGGATTTTTTTCACATTCACTTGAAGATTTATTTTTGCAACTGGTTGAAAAGCCAGCATCTACAAAAGATGCAAACACAAAATCTAAATTGACATATCAATGCCATACCGGCACTTTGTTGGTATGGCATTCATATGTTAATTTAGATTTTGTGTTTGCACCCTGGAGAGGGACTGGATGTCAAAGGCAAAAAGTCAAAGAAGTGACACTTGGATCATACTTGAGTGATTATTGTGCTCTTGCCAACTTCTCACAGTACTTTACCAAAGGCATTGACACATTTGATATAACTTGGCCTGCATGCTCATAGGTAGAATGATAAAGTGCAATAACTTCTCTCTCCAATTGTCAGTCCCATTCTTGAGGAATGCTTATGTTGGAGGAGTGATCAACGGGATTGTAAGGATGCAAAGTAAAGTGGGAGATGAAAAGAAAAGGTGATAGTGGAAGTGAAGATTGAAAGTACTACACTGTGGTCTGAATTTTTTGTCTGTGCCTTGGGAAGTACTTACCTTTTAACTGGTGCTGTCCTCAATAACAGGGTGGAGGGCGCAAATTCAACATGAAGTATTTCTACATTCTATTATTCAATAACAAAGTGTGAAGTACTGTTGTGTTGTCAAATCCAAACATATCAAAATTATCCTCTGAAATTTATTTGACAGTGTAATGGCAACACAATAAGGAAAATCCTCATGTCTGGAGTGCAATTTCCTTAAAGGTCAGCAAGAAGTAGAAGATTTGACTTCCTATCCAAGTTACAGTACTTATATTGGATATTTGGAAGTGTTGCAGTCCTCGGATCATGCAATTTTTCTTTTATATCCCATAGCATGAGATAACTCCAGCAATCCTCATAGAATAATTTTATTTTTGAAGCTATTAATGGGATATTATTGTTACTTATAGCTTGTGTTCCTTGGGTGATGTAAGGTGTGTGATTTTTATATATTTTTATTTCATTAGTTTGTATTTTGAACTAGTGGTATGTGGGTTTTGGTTTATGTGTATGAAGTAGTTTAATAATTAACTCCGTAGGTTTTCAAGAGCCATGATTCTTCAAAAATCCAGTATGAGAAAGAGACACACCTTGGGGTGATAATCAGAATTTATTTGCATTTTTACAAATATGCAGAGAGTTTTGCAAGCATACAGACTTAGCATTGTGAAGCATTAGTTTGCTGTCATTTAAAGAATCAGGATTTTTCTTCGTATTGGGGGGATCCATATTGTTTGGAAAGATTTGTGTTAGTATGCAAAGGCACTGGTCTATATTAGTTGTGTGAAACAGCTTGGAACTGTTGGGAAATAGGTAGCTCAGTGTAAAGATTTCAGTTACAGAGTTCCAAATCAGAAGTACTCAGTTAGAACCCTGAAGGGATAGTTTAAAGTTGAGAAAGTCTAAGCTTAGTTACAGTGACTATTCAAGGAAAAGGCTACCGAACTGTCAAGACCAGGAATTGAAAGAAAAAAAACTAACTTAAACCTGTAAATGTTACAGAGAAACTGTCTCTAGTGTTTGAGTAGTGTAACATGATGTTGTTAAGATAGATCAGATGTACTTTTAGTGTGTATTTTAAAATCTTTCAAATTTATGTTGTATATAAACAGATCGTTCATTCTATTTTACCTGACTTTTGATTGATAAACTTGTGTTTTATTGTTAAAACCAAATCTTCGGCATTTGATGATTGTGGTTTAGTGAAAGACCAACTTATTAAATTAAAATAAAAGATCTATCAAGCCAGATTTAAAAACATGGAAACAGGAGTAAGCCATTCAGCCCATCACACCTGCTGATTCATTTCATACAATCATGACAAATTGAATACTTCAGTGCCTTTTACCCATATTATCACCATAAACTTTTATGCCATTGATAAATTATCGATCTCTACTTTAAATATTCACAAAAAACTGAGATTCCACAGCCCTCTGAGTTATGCATTCCAAAGATTCACCACCCTCTGTGCAAAAAAAATTTCTCCTCATCTCAGTCCTAAATGGCATCCCCTTTATTATTAATTATGCGCCGGTAATAGACTGTTAAATTTGCTATTCTGTGGGAATTAAATTTATTAACCCTTTCTCCACTTTCACAAGCTGAAACAAGCTTAGGCATATCATTAATGTATTAGTGGAGTGGTTTTCTGCAGTGAAATACTTGCGATTGTCAGATCTGATTTGGAACACAACCTTTTCAATCCTGAAAGATGAGGATTTTAATAAATGCAATGATACGTATTTCTGCAAAGTTGATATTGTGGGTGGATTACGGTCTTCATTGCTTGGATGAAAATCGCAGGGCACTGCTTTCAACAGAATAAATATCAAGCAGGTTCATATAAAATATGGGCTTCCACCCTAAGAGAGGACCGTCCAGACAACAAAAATAAATGCTGTGTCTCTAAGCAGATATCTTTCATGACACTGCACAAATTACCAAATTGCAACCTGACTCAAAAGACCTGCCTTGTATCCCTGATGGAGTAGGTTATGGATTTGAACTGCAGTATAACCCAAGCTGACAGTTTGTTGCATTTCTCAAAGGGTATTGCATTGCAAGAGATGCTCTCCATCTAAGAATACACCACATCAAAGCTCTGTCCACTTGTTCCAGTGGGTGGAGAAAATTCTGACCACAGCATCCACCTTCTGCATCAGTGTTCACATAACAACAATCAGAGGCTCCATGCACTACAGACCATTACCAGAAATGTCAAATAAGACATTTGGGACCCCCTGAGGTTTTATGTTTGATGTCTGCTTGATGTATGGAGGTGTCCCAGCAAGACTGCTCACTAAATTTGGACTCTTGTACCCCATTTCTAGATGTTTGCGTTAAATCTCAAAAATGATCACAGTCAAACATTTTGATGTATTCTTGTTGGTTTTACACTGATATTTTTGCTCTGAAGACTCTGAAAATCTACATTCTTAATTTAAAGAAAACTTCAACTCTGTTTTTGGTTTGCATTTTACAGATGACAGGGCCAGCTCATCAACACTATCCTGAAGAGTAAAGATGGACTCTGGACTGTTTTAACACAATGAAGGGACATAATGGAAGTCGTAGCCAGTCACAGCACTCGTCTGGGCACACTTGCCACTGTATGCCTGAGGATTGTGACCCTTCCCATGATTATTTACATCACAGTCAAGACCCTAGGCAATCTTACATGCTTAGTCCGACAGATTCCTGTTCGATGGACCATCACTACTGCATGTCCAGGAGTACCATGCCGTCCGAATGTCCTGCAGTATCGATGAGCATGACTGAGCAGATGTCCTCCAGCAGTACATTCCCCAGGATGCACCATAACCCGCAGTATGAGTCTTGCGATGACTGCATGGCTGCCACCCACACTTCCAGCAAGATCAATCGACTACCTGCCAACCTGCTGGACCAGTTTGAGAAGCAGTTGCCTCTCCATCACGATGGGTTCCACACACTTCAGTACCAACGGGCAAGTTCGGCTGAGCAGCGGAGTGAGAGTCCCAGCAGGATACGGCACCTGGTGCACTCTGTGCAGAAGCTTTTTGCCAAGTCTCACTCCCTGGAAGCCCCTTCAAAGGGAAATGTGAATGGTACAAAGATGGAGGGAAGAGGTGGGGAAAGCCATCATCACCATCAGCACCACCACCAGCACCACCACCAATCTAGGTCAACGAAGAGGAGCAAAAGCAAGGAGCGCAAATCTGAATCTAAGCACAGAGCCAAGATCACAGGATGGTGGAGCTCAGACGACAACCTCGACAGTGACAGTAGTTATATGATGGCCACTGGGGCCAGTAGGCACTCTATGGAACAGGCCAGCCAATACTGTACAGAACCCATCGAAAGTGCCTGCAGAGATCTGACCCTCAAGAGTTTAAAAAGTAGCAGCGAAGGGAAATGTTCGGCCTGTGCGGCTATGCCAATGTTGACTGATTCACAACACATGAAAAGAAGCATGTGGTCCACCATGACGGTAAACCAGGCCAGAGAGGCCTATCCTAGCTCAGGTCTGGGCCAAGATAAACCTTTAATGCTTCAGGACAAGGCACAAGAAAGGGCTTACCATTATCTTCAGGTAAGTGTTACGATAGAAATGTCAATGCTTTCAGTAAGCTAGATGAGCAATACATCATTCAAAGGCTTTGCTTTCCAGCTGTACATTTCACATGTGACTTCTCATAAGTTTGTTCTAATTGTCACAAAATGGGAGAAACACTGAACCTTCCATGGCTTTTGGAAACTGCCTAGATATGAGTAGCAAATCAGATGCTCCACTTTTTACGTTACTGTGCTCTTTTAAAGTTATCGTTCCCTTCTCAGGACCCTCTGCTCTAATCCATAGTTGAGGTGGGATAACAGCAATTTATGAACGAAAATTCCGATTTGGAAGTGAGCGTGCATTTCTTTTATTCAAACAGTTGTATTTCCCTTCGAAATGGAGATCTCATTGCAAAACATTCCTAGTTAATCACCAGGGATTGAGTTCTCGAAATACATTTGAAATGCCCATTTTGGCTGTGTTGTAAATTTGTAGATTCATTCGGTTATAAAAACCCCTCACCATGTTCTCTAATACTCCTTCTTTTCTATTGGGTCCAAAAGAGGAAGGGGAACATAGTGGAGTGATGGTGATATCAGTGGACTTGTAATCCATAAGCCCAAGCTAATATCTTGCGGACACCAGTTCAAATACCGCAACAGCTGGTGGAATTTAAATTGAATTAGTAAAACCTAGAATGACAAAATGTTATTGAGTTTCTGTGAAAACCCTTCTGGCTTGCTCATGTCCATAAGGGAAGGAAATCTGGCATTCTTATCTGGTCTGTGTGTGATTCCAAACCCACAGCAATGTGGTTAACTCTTAACTACTACCAAAACCGTTCAGTTCAGGGATAGGTAGGCATGAGTAACAAATTCTGGAGTTGCCAGCAGCCCCCTCATCCTGTAAAATAATAAATAAATTATTCTGAGACCATTGTGCTTAAACATTGTTGAAAGGAGACAAGAAGTGAAGAGGTTTTTTATCTTGCACTCATCTCAAAAAGCAGCCTTGAGAAAAGAAACACAAGTACTTACACGGTGAGAAGATGATGCTGGTTAGCTGGGCTATTATTGGATGGAGATGCACTTGCATATCCAGTGATATGCTTGGATGAAGCAGGAATTATTAACTGTCAATCTTAGTTATCAGACCTGGCAGGTAAACCCTGTTGGTTAGGGTGATACCATGGGCATGTAACAGAGGTTAGCAGTCTCTCTGGCTCCGTTTTTCTACATAAATGAATAATGTGATAATGAACAAAAATAACTTTGCTGGAAAGGCTCAGCAGGTCTGGCAGCATTTATGAAGGCAAAAGCAGAGTTAACGTTTCGGGTCCAGTGACCCTTCCTCAGAACCCATGATAATGAACGTCAGTGCGAGTGTGATGCCAGATGTGTAATGAGCAAGGACTGTGGACTGTATCAAACAACACATTGTTGATCATTTGCAGCGGATAGCATACTGGTCGTGCTTTAAACCTCAGCACTGTATGGCCAATATTAGTAGTGATTATGCTATTGGACATTAATTAAATAATCCAGATTGTGCTCAGAATTGTGCCGGAAAATAATTTAAGAATATGAGTCAAACATGCAATTGCAATGCATTTGTGCATGTGAGAAGCTTCATATACTCACACACTGACCCTGTTTACTGCAGGCAAATTAACTTGTACATACATTGCGCCTTGGTCACTGGGGAAAAAGGGTCATGGAGACAGCCAATCTCAGCTACATTCCCATGGTATCACCCTGACCTATCGGAGTCTACCTGCCTGGTTTGAGAGTCAAGATTAATGAGTAACTGTTCCTGGTACACCTTCATCCAACAATGACCTAACCAAACAACATCCTTTTCTCATACTATATAAATTGGTGTCCCCATTTTCAAGTCTGTTTTTCGCATCATACTCCTGAGAAGTGCATGACAAAAATCTTTGCTTTCTTGTCTCCTTTTCATAATGTTTAAGTGCGTACCACAGTGGTGTTTATTATTAACCGATCTGTCATAATCAGATAATGTTTGTAGGAAATTGAAATATTTAATACCAACCCACAAACATGGCTGGCAAAGTTCTTACACACCAACATCAATATATTTAAATAGACTGATGGATATTCATTTAGCTCTGCATATGATCCTTTGCACTGTGGAATTAGATAGATAGCAGGCATAACACAAACCTTAAATGTGTAATTTAAAAATGACCCATTGACCCCTACAACTTGATAAAGAAAACTATTGATTTAAAATACACTGTAACTGAATTACTTCATTTAATGCTTAACAATTGCTGCATATATGATGCAATAACGCTGTATTTGATTTACAATTTAAACATTGCATGCATGGTGGTTTGTGCAGTTAAATTGTATTGTATTGACAGCTTAAATTTTGCCTATATTTGTTTAAATATTGCACACATGCTACTATGTGCAGTAAATTTATTTTTTATCTTCTCAATGATACACTTGAGAAGCTAAGGAAATCGTTATTTACTTCAAGTATGACCATAGTCACATACAGACCAAGCTTTCTTTAGAAAACATTCTGACTGAATCAACGAAGAGGAGTTACACCCGCCAGTGTGGGCACAGAGAAATGAGAAAAGAAATGCTCTTTTCCTGCATAGACTACTTGCAAGGCATGTAATAAATGCATGCCTATGTTCCACTTGCATTTACAATGTGTCTTCAATATAGAAAAACGGCCACAGGCAAGTGTCCCACCAAGAAAGAGGTGTTCAAGGTGACTAAATCTCAGTAAAAGAAGTGGTTGTCAAGGAGAATCTTAAAACAGGATGGAAGGATAGAGAGAATGGTGAGGTAGATGGCAGGGAGATGGACAAGAGGCCAGACCAGAGAACACTGTATGCGGGGTCTGGAAGATCTTACAGATCTTGGCAATGTCAAGACCAAGGAAGGATTTCAACACAAGGATGCACTGGGTTTGGGGCTGGTAGTCACCAGGTAAGCCAGAAAATTCAGGGGACAAGGTCAAGCTAAACTTGGTGTGATATGGAATTCATTGACATCTAAAAACCAAAAGAACTGCAGGAGCTGTAAATCAGAAACATGAACAGAAATTGCTGGAAAAGCTCAGCAGGTCCGGCAGCCTCTGTGAAGAGAAATCAGAGTTGACGCTTTGGGTCCGGTGACTCTTCCTCAAAACTGATAGTAGCTCAGAAAATATTGGTTTCTATGCAGAACGTATGGTGAAGGGAGGGGGTAAGGAGTAAATGATAGGTGGGGATAGAGCCCAAAGAGAGAGAAGAGGAGTTGAACCGACAAAGGAGGAGATAACAATCTGGCTAGGAGGGTGAAAAGCTGTTAATGGAGACTGTTATTGGCTAACAATGGGTAGTGTGCAATGGCAGACTATGTGATAACACAACATTCAATATCAGTATCGAGTTCAATAATTTTAGGGCCTGAACGCTCCCATGTCCTAAACTCCTACCCCACACACCAGGCCTTGTTATCACACAGAGATAGTAAGAACTGCCGATGCTGGAGTCTGAGGTAACACCGTGTGGAGCTGGAGGAACACAGCTGGCCAAGCAGCATCGGAGAAGCAGGAAAGCTGACGTTTCGGGTCGGGACCCTTCTTC